TTTTATACCCGCTCGGGCGCAGGTTCGGCCGTTTCCGCGTCTCGTCGGTAATCTCCGGGTGCGCTCAAAAAAGGACAAGGGAGTGCTCGGCGGGGTGAGTTTCCCGTGTGTGTCGTTGAGTGGCGCAAAAGGTAATCCGGGCGCCTTGCGCCCGGTTCCCGCTGGTTGTACGTGCGGGAACGATGCGTTCTTTAAGGGGGTGCATCGTTACAGTTTATTTTTGGAAAATTTAAAATTTTAAATACGTTTTTTTTTTAAATGAACCAGACATAGCACAAATTCAAAAGATGTCAAGGAAAATTTAAAAAAATCGAGTTTAAAATCCATAATCGAGTTTGAAATTCAAAAGATTAAAAATTAAATACAAAAATACATGAACCTAATACATTCAATACGTGATTTTTTCCATCGTAGGAAATAATTTTCGCAAATTTATCTGTTATATCTATCGACATAACGAAGGATAGAAGAGAGGAGGTAAATACAGAGCGATGATACACGCTTAAAAATATCTAGGCGCGGGCGAGGGCGCGAGCGTGTTTTCCATACCGCGTCCGTACCGCGTTAGCAACATTCGTTGTCGACGCGCGCGCGAAGGGAACGAAAAGGTGGGACGGGACGAGAGGGTTTAACGCGTTAAGCCATCTTGTTTAATATGGCTTTATTACGTAGGTGGTAACGAACCGCCGGGAGGCCATTATGCGGCGATAAAATGCGCAATGCCCGTTGCACGTACATGTCGTTTCGCGTGTATTCCAACCCGCGCCGTGATATGCCCATGCGCGTCGAACGGACCAGACGGGGCACGCGTTCACGATAAACGCCTGCGGTCGTGCAAAGCGTTACGCCATGGTCGCCATGGCTACGCGAAATTTAATTCGTCCGTGAAATCGAACATTACGCGCGCGCGTAGCCGCGCACGGGATTTTTGCAAAAATTGCGTTACCTCCCGCGAGCGCCGGCATACGTAGCTCGCATTCGCATTTGTTCTGTTTCTCTCTCTCTCTCTCTCTCTCTCTCTCTCTCTCTCTCTCTCTCTCTCTCTCTCTTTCTCGATTCCCGATGGCTTCTCGAACGAAACAATCAGCTCCTCGTTATCGTACGGGAGCCGCGATAACAGTTCTCGTTGGATGAGAATGCGGCAATGCCGTATATATGTATATGGACAAATATATACAATAATAACTTTACTTTGCCTGCAACTTACAATTAGAAATTGAATTTAACAGCAATTGTTTAAATTACAAAATATCGGCAAATTCAATGTTACGTTGTTAAATCTTACATCGTAATGTTAATAAACAAAAAATAGAAGCGACTGCTGGATTTTCCTTATTTATCCGAATGCACGTAATAACGGTAAATATCCTGTATGTAGACTGTGACGTGAATTCGTGAATGCAATGTGGATCGATTATAATTGTTATCACGCTACGTTGACACCTTGTGAAACTTTATCGCCGAAAAACGAGTATTCTCTCGTCGCCGCAACGATCCAACAGTGGAGTCGACGACAATTTTTCTCCTCACCAGCCAGGCCACTTGTAATACATGCGCCGCCGGCACCTTCCACTCCGTCGCGGTTTATCCTTATCGTCCCCGGAATTTCCTTCCGACGCGAGTCCGCAATTCCCGTCCTCGCGAGGGGGCAGGAGGAGGGGGGGGGGCGGGTTCAGGCACATTCGTGTCACCATTTCTCTAGCTAGCTGCGGAGGACAGCAAGGCGGCAAGGGGAGCGGATGGTATCCGGGGGTTGCTTTTCTCGAAACGCGGAGGGGGCGAAAGGGTGAGATGGATGAACGGTGTGAGGTACGTCAAGTACGTGTGCCGTATTTTCCGCAGAGTCGCGGCCTCGTAGAATGTCGGGTGTCGTTGGCGGAGGCGCCGGAAACAGCCAGTTCGAGGGTGCGGGTGCAAGTGCGGTGGAGTAACGGGAGAACGCGGGGGTGGCAGGGGGGAGGAGGGGCGGACGGATTTGGTTATGCGTCGCCACGTCCCGGCTGGATTTGTCGTCGTCACCTCCTACTGGGGCTGAGAGACTCGGTGGAGAAGAGGGGTTCCCCGCTAGTACCCCCCTTGGAACAACTTTTAAAAGAGACCGAAACGCAGTGTAAATTTTTTTCCCTTCGTTTCCCCTCCTCTCGCGAGATGTGGCACGTCGTTCGGGGAAACGTCAGTTGCACAAGTCATTGTGTGACTGTGTAGTCGAGGGTAGACTCGAGAAATTATCCTTTACATGTATATATTTTTTTTAAATACTTCTCGCGCGCGACAGTCTTGCAAAACAACGAAATTTGCGATTGATTAATATTTGTGTGTTTAGAATAAATCTATGTTTCATTGCGATACCAAAGGATAATAATTTTGCAAATGAAAATTTAAATCTGTTCTCTTTTTCTACCTTATACATTTCTGTAAAATGTAATATCGGTCGCACAGCTAACGATTAATTATTGCATGAATATGTATTAATAAATGTTACCGTGACATTTCAGATTATATACAGGGATTTAGTGTACTTTTTGTTTCTCTTAAATACTGATCGCGCATGACGCGCAGAAAATCTTCGTTAAGACTGACTGAAGTCACGATGCAATCTGTTACGTCTACTTTTTCAAACGCAGCGCGTTACACGGATGAGAAAACGCTACATTTAAATTACAACCGTGCCTTTTGCGCAAACTCGCAAACAGACACGGCAATCTAAAAACAGCACTTTGTGGAGTCGAGGATTCCGCCTCTTTTTCGGATTTATGAGAACCGCGGGAGGGCAGGCGACGTGTTAAACGTTTCTCTTCGGGGTTTTATACACACATTTGTATTACTTTTATCTCGACGGCGGTGTTGTGAAATATACTCGCGCATCAGTTCCTAGATGCAGTCGGATATGCCCGACAAATTTCGTGCCTTGACAAAAATAATAGAAGATCGTATTTCAGTGCGAGCTCAAAGCACTTTACAACGGACGTATCTAGATCGCGGCAAGAGACACGTCTGCACGGACACTCCGAAAGTTTAAATCGGAAAGACAAAGCCCTCGCTTGTAGCCTTTTTACGCGAGCCATAATTTTTCATTACTTCCTTGAGAGATTTATTCAACAGAGATAATCTACTCTATCTCGCTCATTAGTTGAGTATGTTTCATTACGTAAATGCTCACTCGGATCTTGCCTAAATATTTCGAGACGCGTTATAAATGAGACAGAATTAACTTGTGTATATATTTTTCAATTAATCTGCAAAGGTATTCGACAACCGATTCGTGAACCGTAGAATATATTATAACTCGATGCGCATAAAGAATCAAACAACAGAGGGCAGTACGCAAGAGTCTGTATTAGAGCATGTATAAAAGGGTGGAAATTGTTTGTTATTGCGAGGTCGATGAGTCGCGATACGTCGGCGAGGGCGGCGCGGCGCCAGCCACCCTTTCCCTGTCAGGCCACGATTTACCAGCTATAGTACGGGGGTTCGCAGTCATTCCTGCAGCCTCTGATTCAACCCCTCCCGAGCTCACCACCCTCCCCCCCTCCTCCCCCACCTCAACCCGCTTCTCTTTCCGTGCTGCGAAACTCCCTCAGCTTGTTAATCTCGCTAACATTGCGCCACAGGTGGTGACCTCGTATTGTCTCTTCTCCGCCGTGGCCTCATCAACGTCAGCCGCCCTCTATATTACCGAATAGATTATTTACGGGCTTAATAACACACGGTCTCACTCTCTTTCTCTCACACACACACACTCTCTCTCTCTCTCTCTCTCTCTCTCTCTCTGTCTGACAGTAACGTGGTTCTGTCTCAGCATGCAGTCGCAACACACGTGTTTTTCACAAACCGGTCTACTAATGTTTTTCTCACGTGTCGCGAATCAGCGGCGCTGAACGGGGCGGCATCGTGCGGATTTTTCACGGTTACATATAGGTTTTTTTTTTTAATCAGATTCAATCGCCGCGCGAATCCCCGCGGGATTACCTCGGATTTGCGACACGGGGATTTGTATCGTGTCGCCGCCCACAACGTGCGGTTGCTATTGTGTCGACAGTTGGACACGGATCCCGTGCGCCGGCGTTTCGTCGCAGTTAACGACGATTAGATGCCACTCATTGTCTTTGATAGTCTGTTTAGGACGATAATAACGTCCAATCCTCGTATCGTCCCGCGGAAATCTATTGAATCGCTTTGCTCTAAAGCTTGTGCCTATCGCGGTACGTTTACTGTTCTGCGATCAAGGAAACCTCTACGGTGCCTGGATCATAACATTGAACGAACGAGCTTTCTCAAGTAGGAGACTGATACTATGTGGTCCCGCTTATCTCTGTACAAACGGGCATTATCCAGCGTTATGTTCTGCGCAAACATACGGATTGACAATGGCAGTTTGATGAAACTAGACATGCGTGATTTGTAGCAAGTTCAGTAAATTTAGGACAAAATGTATTGTGCCAATGTTGAAATCGCGTCTATTTATACACTGTTACTTCATCATGAACGACAAAATGTATTGTGCATATTTTATACAATTAGAATTTTATAGTGACTCATCGAGATCGTTCTGCGACCATCTGAAGGGATTAAGCGTCCTACCAGATTTCGCTAACGTCGCTTTCTTTTCTTCTGTTTCAGGGGAAAAGCCGTACAAGTGCAGTTGGGAGGGCTGCGAGTGGCGATTCGCGCGTTCAGACGAATTGACGCGCCATTACCGCAAGCACACCGGCGCGAAGCCGTTCAAGTGCCGGCATTGCGACCGATGCTTCTCCCGCAGCGACCATCTAGCTCTCCACATGAAGAGACACGTGTAATCAATCGTCTCCGCGAGCGGTCCCAGCCGCGCGTCACACTCCGCGGTTGGGACCGTCAAGACTTCTTCCTCGTAAAAATCGCGGAGATCTTCGACATTTGCACGGCGAAATTCACGCGATCTAGCATTTTCCGAGATCACCTAGTAGTATGCTGCAAGTAGAAGGCGATCGATTATCGTATGCGCCTGAGCTTGAACAAACATCAAGTGAGAGAGAGAGAGAGAGAGAGAGAGAGAGAGAGAGAGAGAGAGAGAAAGAGTATTACGAAAGTAGCTGTATTAGGTATTCGAGATTCGCCCAGACTCCATCATTGACGGAAAATTTTCGAGAGTCACTTGAGAAGATCGATCAGTGAGACGCCGTTTGGAGACAATCGAAGATTGAGTTTGTGTCTGAAACGATCGGCGGGGACGATTCGGAGGAAGGCTTGACGAGCAATCAGATTATGTATTATAGAGTAACACTTCTCATCGGAGTCCAAAGAGTCACGTGTACAACGTGCATTTCCTCGAAATGCCCTGATGTGTAAGATCAGGAAGGGGGGGGGGGAGGAAATAAGTGATCAACGACACTTGTCCTTAAGAGCCAAAGGGATTGCACGCAACAAACCTTCGATCCCCGCTAACTCGCGCGAATTTGAGGAGACGGAAACGTCAACGGTCAGCAGTGATCCGGAAGAGAGATTGCAGCCAATGTAATACAGGGAGGGGACCTCCGGGGGAAATTGTCGAGCAAAGAAGTCGCCCGGGAAGTCTCGCACGCGCCGCGAGAGACGTCAATCACTGCCAATTCGTTACATTCTAAGATCAACGCTACCGTCGAAGATTTCAAGCTGCGACTTTTAGCAATCGGAGGTCTTCGAGAAGCGAGGAGCTGACTGAAGAAAGCCTAAAGTTTTCGCCGATCCTCAATGGCGCGCGGCACGGGCGGATGCTCATTCGCAATTAAAAAAAAAAAAGAGAATTGTAATAATAAAAAAGATACGCTCCTACTATAAATCACACAAAAACACACACACACATATGTATACATACTATATATTAATATATATAGATATATATATGTATGTATATGTACCACAAAACAAATCTTTATCTTTTCCAAAACGATCGAGTCAACGGTTGTCGCATTTTACCGAGAGACACGTTCGAGTATCGCGAGCGCCGTATCGCGCGTGCACTGAAAACTTAGAGAAAAAAAACACGTAGATTTCGCGAGGACAATAATGCAAACTGTCGGTGCCAAACGTTATTTCCTTTCTCTTGCTTTTCTTTCTTTCAGGAACTCCGCGAAGACATTCGCGGCTAAAAAACGCGCGCGCCGGCACTCGCGGTACCGTCGGCGTACTCCCGTGTCAGACGTATGTCGAAATCGCGCTCTCATGCAGCGGAGAGTCGAGGCGGAGGCGACGCGTGGTAATTGAATACGTGATTTCGACCAGTTTCGACGGCAACGAAGATTCCGCCGCGCCGGGTGCTAATCCCGAATTTACAGTGCGAATTACAACGCGGTCCGCGCGCACCGATTCCACCGCCGCGCTACCGTTCCAGGCCCGCTCGCTAAAGGAGCTTATAAATGCGGGGATACGACTGTTTCCGCTTTGCTACTTACAGCTGATTTTTACTAAATGCCGACGCACACTCCAGCTTTCAGGTAATCCACTCGATCGTCATTGTTGACGCAGCGCTTTTTCATTCTATACAAAAAGAAAAAGAAACCTGCTCGTACTTTGCATGCTTGTGGGGGAATGTAAAGGGCTTTTTCTCTCGTGATCTTTTCCGACTGTAGCAATTCTCCGAGATACATACGCGGGTAAGGGGATCGTTCGACGAGACGATCATCACAAAAAACTCAGCAGAATACAAATGAATAAATATATATATTTTTTAATATTCTCGTCATACTCATTGAAACAATGTAGATAAGCAAGTATATTACGGGCTGTATAATCCGCATAAGACTTTCGTACGCTTTTCACGCAGCCGAATAATTTCGCGAACGATTCCCTGCCTCGTGCATGATCTACGGCAGATGGTTGACTTTATTATCTTGTATATCCGCGAGCGCGTTGATCTATAACACAATGATCATTAGCGGGAGATTGCTCGTCTCGCTCGTCATCGATCTGAAGGATTCCGATATTTTTAAGATATCGCGTGCAACAGAATAAATAGTATGTCCTGGCGAAACAGTGCCGAAACAGGAAAAGAAAAACAAACGCGAAATAAATCGTTGCACTCATCAAAAAA